TCCTCAGCAGAGGCTGTTTAAGGCGCTTGATCGTATGTGAGTATTTCACGAGGTGCAAGAGAGGGTTGATCGGCCACAACCCGAGACACCCACCCCCGAACATACTGTAGCTTTCAGAGACAATAATGCAGGTAGTTCATTATATGTGAGTTAACGGTATATCACATTCTTCTTTGTAAATGATCAGTGGCGATATCTGAAGATAGAGTGGGTTCTCCATGGACCCATATTTTTTATCAAATAATGTCCCAAATTCTATCAGCACTCCTATGAATTAGGTGAACTTGATCGGCTATTGACTGAGGTAACTTATCAAAGAGTGACAGAGTGGTAATGTTGGTACCACCCTCGATTAAATTTCAGCCTTTTTAATGAATCCCATTGATGTGATTTCGATGTTATCCTATCAGACGGCGATGGTTTTCCTCCGTCTCCGCTGCTCTGTTGGACGCCCGCTTCACGAAGCCCGGGGAGCATGATAACATGTACAATGGTAGTGCAATAATATGAGGTCTTCTCAGAAATTTATATGACAAGGACAGTGAAAACGTTAATTACAAGTGAATACAATGGTAAGCGTGAGTACGGTGTGCACATTACAATAGAAGTAAGCCCTAAATCGGACAAAGCTTTTGAAGAGGATACTCGGAGTGAGCAGGTCCGAGGATGAAGAACAGTGAAGAAATCGGATCACTGTATGAAGAAAACACCGGTCTAGTGATTATGCAAGAAAATCAAGTTCTACGATCGGTATGAAAAGTTAACTTGTAGATGGAGAAAAGAAAGCAAACCGAGGAAGTGCACGGTGATGCAATTAGGACGGTGAATGTCTTTCAATAAACGATAAAACGGTTTGATCTGAGTCTACTGCCTTCTGCAAAACGGGGAGCAATAGGGTTCACTGTTAGTGAGCGTTATTTAGGTATTGATCGCTTTGATGTGCTACTAAATACGATAGACACCCAACCTTGAAACACTGTAGGTGAGACAGGGGGTATAATCCTCAGCGTGGTCCAGAATGCGGACGCGTGTAGTCAAAACGGTAGAGTCGGCCAAATGTGACAATATCCGATCAAGAGCTTGAGGGACGACCACGAGAAGCGACGGGTAGCAGTATGGCGACCGATGAATAAGACCACGGTTATTGGTTATTTCCGTTTATTTCATATCGGTAATGGAGGATTTGGTTAAATTCCAAATGGGAATTCGTCGTGTATATAGCAAATGAAGCGCGAACTGAAAAGCTCGGAAGCACTGGACAGCTGTTTCGACCTGGTTGGGTCTCATCAGCAGTGCGAATCCATCGACCCGACTGGGGATCGAACCCGGGACTTCATGGGTTGAGCAGGGTCCGTGGCCCGCAACAAGTTTTCAAAGATGGCATGTGCCATATCGTGTAAATGGAAAATGAAAAACGATCTGGTCAGCTGCTCGGTGGCGTAGTGGGTAGCACGTTTGCGTTCCGCCCATGAAGTCCCGGGTTCGATCCCCAGTCGGGTCGATGGATTCGCACTACTGATGAGTCCCAACCAGGTCGAGACAACTGTCCATTGCTTCCTAGCTTTGCAGTTCACCCTTCATTTGCTATATACAAGACGAATTCCCTTTTGAAATTTCTGTCTAATAAGTAAAACGAGTCCACGGAAATTTACCTAAAATAGTCCGACGACAGATTCACACGCAACAACACCGTCGGAACAATGGACAGAAAATCTTAGGGTACCGTTCAACTGGCTTCCATCGACATAAGATTTGCTGATTACGTCAGGTTATATACATAGACCATTATCTGTCGCCTGCCGCACTATCGAAAAACAGCAGTTCTTAGAAAGTTCCTAAATCTTGAAGAACTGAAATACACTTCTGTACGAAACACTATCAGGTAGCACCTTTTGAAGATCTCTGTTCTCACATGTCCGTCAACCGGTCTTCAGGGTTTGTCATTAACATTGACCCGAAATAAGATCGCACCTAATCCCGTGGCACTGCACCCATTTGATTGAACGATTTCGGTGACTCGCTCATCTGTTGCTAACTGGTGTCACTACGAATTATCTACATCGAATCGATTCAAATTTCACTTATTGATGTTTGCTTAGCGCCCAGTTTTTTGCTCCAGAATGAATAGAGATCCATCCATCGATCAGAAGCTCCGGATTCTAAGAACGACAATGCAAAATGTTTTATTGAATAAAGAATTCCAACTAGTGGCGAACAAGGTCGTTTTCAATGATTCGTAGTCATGCCAAATGCCCCAATAAATATTACGCTGTTTATATATGAATCAGTATTCAAACATGAAAGAAAACGCAAACAGTTGTTTTGGGAAAAGGAAAATAACCTCATAGGTTATCTGGGGCTAATTTCATCTTGGGACCAGATGTAGAATTTTCAATGATCACATAAATGTTATGTCATCCGACCGTTGGGATCACTCGGAATATGGGGTGTTTGGGAGGTGGGCCAGGGGAGCTTAAGCGCCTGCACAAATTCAAGTCAAGAAGAACTTTATGCACCCAAGGGGTGAATTTTCAGCAGTTAGCGATTTTTACAGTGGATGGGTAAAAGAATAGCAAACAAAAAAGGCAATATAAGAAATTCTACACTATAATAAATGAGAGAAAAATTAAGGCAGGAGTTTTTCCCTGAGGTGGGTGAGAATATTCTGACGATTTACTAGTAAACGTGCTAGATTTGGAATTTCACTGTTTCGATATGTGGAAGTCGGCACAGGAAGCAGTTGATATTTGGAGCGTGTTCGGGGATTTGACAGGGCTTTCGCGATATCTTGGTGCAGACATTGTCCTTGATCACGTGTTGTCCTGTCAATGATTGTATCACAAGCGTCTAGATGCTTGGAAATAAAGAAGTCAACTAAAACAACTCTATCAACTCCACTGTAGCGGGACAAAAGTTTGTTGAAAGCCTGCGCCGACCAGCTTGCGACACCCATTGTTCAGTACTTGTTTGTCATCCGGAGCGATCCTCGATTGTTGGAGGTCAGCCCGGATCAAACCAATCCCAAAG